ACATCTGGAGACACTAACTTGACTCAATAAGCCTTAACATAAATGACAGAATGTATGAAATCCAGTGTTTGTATGTGTGTGTGGGGGGAGGGTGCCATTGGGGAAGGGGGTATAAAGATGATTAAGATGTTGTTTTTTAAATACACAAAAATTCAATAAATATACCAAAAAATATGTGTCAGCATGCCCAGCCTTTTTTTTCCTCAAAGATTTGTTTTTATTTTATGTGTATGAATGTTTGCCTACATGTTTGTATGTACACCATGTGTTTGCCTTGTTCCCTCAGAGGCCAGAAGAGGGCATTGTATCCCCTGAAACTGGTGTTATAGTTGGTTGTAAGCTAGCACGCAGGAACTGAGAATCCAACCCAGGTCCTCTGCTAGAGTAGTCAGTGCTCTTAACCCCTGAGCCATCTCTCCAGCCCTGTGCTCAGATTTTTTACATGGGTTCTGGGGATCAGATTCAGGTTTTCATGCTTTCCTGGCAAGCACTTAACCAACTGAACTATCTCAATGAACAGTATTTGTTTGTTTAATTGTTTTTGAATTTTTCTTTTAAATTTTTGAGACAGGATCTCAAGTAACCCAGACTGGCCTCAATTTTGCTATGTAGCCAAGGATCATCTTGAACTTCTCATCTTCCTTCCTCCACTTCCTGAGTGCAGGGATTGCAGAAGTGTGCCATCACACCCCACTAGTACAATGGTGGGTATGGGACCTAGGGCTTCATTCATGTTAGGCAAGCACTCTACCAACTGAGCTACGTCTCCAGCCCCTGTTTTGTTTGTGAGACAGTCTCACTGGCTTTGTGGATCAGGCTGAACTACACAGCTAGTTCTAGGCCAGGCAGTGCTACATAGCCAGTACCTATCTCACAAAACGAAAACAAAAATGGATGAGGTGTTTCAAGCTGGGTATGGTGGCTCACGCCCTTAGTTCCAGCACTAGGGAGGCAGAGGCAGGTGGATCTCTGTGAGTTCAAGGCCAGCCTGGTCTACATAGTGAATTCCAAGGCAACTGGAGTTACATACTGAGACCCTGTCTCAAACAAAAACAAAAACAAAACACCAATGGTGGTACATGTAGTTATTTTTAGAAGTCAAATTACATAAGGCTTTTAGAACAGAAATCGTATGACCTGCCTTCCCTGGGATTCCCAGCTCCCCAGAGCCATTTTATTTTATTTTATTTTAATTTTTTATTTTTGGTCTTTTCGAGACAGGGTCTCCCTGGAGTCCCAGCTGTCCTGGAACTCACTATGTAGACCAGGCTGGCCTTGAACTCACAGAGATCTTCGTGCCTCTGCCTTTGAGAGCTGGGATTAAAGGCCTGTGCCACCAGCCCGGCCCCCAGAGCCATTTTAACCCTTGGCAGTTTCATCTCTTCTGCATGTCACAGCACTGACTCTTGGCTTTTCCCTTTGGACTGCAGCAGTCAGCAAGTGTCCTACCCCATCACCAGTGTAGCCAGCAGAAGCAGTCATCACTTGGCAGTTGCCGCCAGCCCTCCTGTTTTTGTTGTTATGAATTCATACCTCCACTTCTTTGTTTACTCCCCATATAGTGGCTTGTGGGTAGAGACAAATGCATACACTTAGCCTGCTATGTTCAATCTGAAAGCCTACAGCATTGTACATTTCAGAAAACTCAAAACGAAACAAAAAACCCCGGGGCTGTGGGTGTACAAGTATCAAGCTTGCCAGACATGGATGAGGGCCTTGGTATGACTGCACAATATCAGTATTGTGAAATTAAACCCATTTTAAATTGATTTATTTATTTTATTTAGAGACAGGGTTGCACTGTGTGTCATACTATGTAGCTTTGGCTGCTCTCAAACTCAGAGATCCAACTGCCAGCAAATCCATCAAAAAAATTATTTTTATGTGTCTGTGTGCTTTGTCTACATGTATGCAAGTGCACCATGTGCATGTAGTGCCTGTGAAGGCTAGAGGAAGGTGTCAGATGCTCTGGAACTGGAGTTACTGCTTAGCTCCTTTTGTTCCCCTTATATTTATTTTTAAAAACATTTGTTATATATGAGCGTTTTGCCTGCATGTGTTTTACATACATGCAGTGCCTGTGGAGGGCAGAAGAGCGATGGATCCCCTGGGACTGGAGTTGTAGACAGTTGTGAGCAGCCGTGTGGGTGCTGGGAACCAAACCTGGGGCCTATGCAAGAACAGCAGGTGCACTTAAAGGCTGAGCCATCTCTCTAGCCCACATTTATTATTTTTAAATTTTTATTTGTGTGTATATGCACACCTGCCACAGCATGGGTGTGGAGGTGGAAGGACAACTGTGTAAGTTAGTTCTCTCCCTCCACCATGTGGGTCTCAAACTCACAGAGATTCACCTGCCTCTGCCTCCCGAGTGCTGGGACTAAAGGTGTGCGCCACCACGCCCAGCAATATATATCTATTTATATATCTGTATCTACTTTGTTTTGTGTTTGTTCAGATAGGGTTTTATTATGTAACCCTGGCTGACCTGCTGTATAGATCAGGCAGCCTGCCTCTGTCTCCTGAGTGCCAGGATCAAAGGCATGCACCACCATGCCCGGGCCCATACATATATATATATAATTTTTTTGTCTTTTTGAGACAGGGTCTCCCTGTAGCCCCAGCTGTCCTGGAACTTACTATGTAGATCAGGCTGGCCTTGAACTCACAAAAATATTCTTCAGGGGTGGGCAAGATGGCTCATCAGGTGAAAGTGCTTGCTGTGCAAACATGATGACCTGAGTTTGATTCTTAGGGCCTATGTAAAGATAGGAGAGAACTGATCCCTGAAGGTTGTCCTCTTGATTTCCACATGCACTATGTAGGCCTGTGTGCATACACGTGCACACCACCCCGCCCCCATACAATAATAAAAATTTAAACAGTCCTCAGATTCCCTCACATGCTAGGCTACAGTTCTACTACTGAGCTATACCCCCAAGTCCAATAATATTTTGCTCATAGAAATCATCTGGTTTTAATAGTGCATCTTAAAGGGCTGTGCATAAAAGTGCAACTGTTTATCTCTGAAGATGAGCTTCCTTCCCTAACTTCTTTAAAAAAAAATTATTGTGTGTGAACACTTATATGTGTGTGGGTGTGTCTGCCATGGTGGCCATGTAGAGGTCAAGGAAGACGTTTTGGGAGTTGGTTCTCTCCTTTCTCCTCTGGTTCCAAGGATTGAACTCAGATAATTAGGCTTGGATGGAAAGTGCCTTTATCCAATGAACCATCTCACCTGCTCAACTTCTTGAAAGTTACTGACATTTCCCACTTCATAAAGGAGTTCCCATTTTTTTGTTTGAGTCTTTTGAGTGAGGGTCTCAGGTAGGCCAGGGTGGCCTGAGTCTGAACCACTTGCTTCTACTTCCCAAGTGCTGGGATTACAAGTGTGGACCAACATGCCCAGCTAATTTTTTTTCCCTCTGAAACCTGCTTTTTTGTGCTTATTCATCAGTTAAGAATTCTGGTGCATGTACTAAGAATTAGGCACTTTCATGTCTGGATTTGCTTACATCTAAGATTTTCAGCTGCTTAAAACTATTTTAGCCAGGCATGGTGGTACATACCTTTAATCCCAGCACTCGGAAGGCAGAGGCAGGTGGATCTATGTAAGATCAAGGCCAGACTGGTCTACATAGTGAGCATAGTGAGTTCCAGGCCACCTGGGGGTACAGGAGATCCTGTCTCAAAAAACACCGAAAACCAAAAGCAAACCAAACAAAATAACCCTGACAATTATTTTAACATGGGGGCTGGACGTTGTGGTCCATACCTTTAACTGCAGCACTATCGAGGTAGAGGCAGGTGGATCCCTCTGATATGTCCCGCCAGAGTGACATATCAAGACTGTCTTAAGAAAAACACAATACCACATTTCTTTCCTCCAGCAGACGTAACAAAATGGTACTCAGAGGCAGAAGCAGAGGCAGGAGGATCACTGTAACTTTGAGACCAACCTAGTCTCCATTGTGAATTCGAGGCCAGCTAGGACTATTAAGGGAGACCCTGTCTCAAAAAACAAAACAAAATAACCACTTTTCACTTCAATAAGGTGATTTTCTTTTGAGACACTGCAAGTCATTTCTGAACCAATCTCAGAAATAAGCAATGTTGGTATTGCAAGTGGAAATCTCATAAACGGCTTCACAGAACACATGAGTTTATTGCTATAGATAAGTGACATAAGGTGAGGAAGTCCAGTTCATTCTACCAGTGTGTATCTCAAACTATGAACATGACAGTAATGTTTACATCCATTTCTAGTTCTCCTGCTGACCACTTATGCCCAAGGACACAGACTATTTCTTATGGGTGAAAAAATATAAATATGTACATTTTTCTTATAAAGAAATGTTTTGATTTTATTTCCCTTTATGAAATAAAGGCTCTGTGAAAAATAGAAAGGTAAATGGTTAGGAAGTTTTCTAACATTAAGCCACCTTGCTCTTTTAAAATTATCATTATTCTGTGAACAGGTGCCTGTTGGCATAACAGAATAGAAGAAGGATTAATCAAGTTCTACAAGTTGTACTCAGAGGAAGAGAATTCTATAAAGGCTAACAGTTAATTAAGACATTTATACATCATGACCATTACCATGAGAACAAACCTTAAATAAACAGGCTTCTTGAAGGTTATTAATACAAAAAGGATGGAAGGACCCAGTTCCTACAAAAAGCATGATGTTCAATTTGTGGTATAGTTAAAAAAAAGTAGAAGAAAAGAAAAGGGAAAATATTCTTTTTTAAAGAAATCTATCTTGCTTTTCTAAAAAAAGGTATTTTTATTTTATTTTTAATGATGTGCATATGAGTGCATTGTTTGAAGAGGCTAGAAGAGGGCATTGATCTCATGGAGCTAAAGTTACAGGTGGCTGGCTGTAAGCCACCTGATGAGGATGCTGGGAACTGAAATAGGGTCTTGTGAAAGAGCAGCAAGCACTCTTAACCACTTAGCCATCTCTCCAGCCCCTGCCTGCTTGTTTTTTAAAATTGAGGTACTAGAGATGGAACCCAGGGCCTGTGTATGATAAGTGCGCTGCTACTGAACTATAGCCTCAGCCCTGCATAGTATGTCTTAATGTCAAACTGGATGTTTAGATCATTCAAACGAACTTAGTTATCTTATCTTTTGGCTTTCAGATAGAATTTTAGAAAATATCTGGCAAGAAAATAGTTCTGAAAGTGCTTCCTCTTGAGTTCTTTGGTATAATTTGGTCATTCTGATACTAATTAAGCTATTAAGTACTTTATGTATCAACAAAAAGGCAATGAGGATACATATGCTTAGAAAACCATGACTAAAGAATAAGTTATACTGCTGACCTTGTGGCAAACATAACTCTAATATTTTACCTGTGTTTCCATGGCAAAGATATCTCTACAGTCTATAAGAACCTTTCTAATTTGATTTATATGAAAGAAACATTACATACAACATCCTCTTTTGATCATTAGACTAGCTGTTCTATGTACTTTTTTTTAAAGAGGCAAATTTTAGCTCGAAAAGGAATCATTTTGACTTGCATAAAGTGACACTTTTTGCCTTTTGATTCAGTGAACATCAGAATTTAATGTCAGTTTGTAGAATGTTAAGGATTATTCTTTGATTTCAGGTAACAGCTAATTCTCTTCCTGGAGCATCTTCTCGATCTCTTTGTCCCAGTTCTCATCCCGCTTCTCAGCCTCGGCCACCACTTCGTACTCCTGAAGCTCCTGTTGTAGTTCCTTTTCCCAATCGGTGGCATCCTCTACAGGGGACAAGGACAAAGACAAGCCTCTCTGAACTCACAAAGCTTGTATGACACCAATTCAATCGTAATAACCTATACAAATCCTAGCCATCCCAAATTTTTTCCGTTGTAGTGCTGTGGCTGGAACCTGGGGCCTTGAACATTGTTAGGCAAGCTCTCTAACACTGAGCTACAACCCCAGCCCTATTTGCAAAAAAATTTTTTTAAACATTTGTGTGTGTGTGCATGCATGCACTCATGAGGATGTACATTTGAGGAGTTCATACGCGTGCATGGAAGTTGGTCAGAGGACAATTTTTGGGAGTTGATTCTTGTTTTCCACTATATGGGTCCCAGAAACAGAACTCAGGTCATCAAGCTCGGCAGCAAGTACCTTTACTCATTGAGCCATCTCATCCACCCTTATTTTTGAGATAGAGTCTCATGTGTTCCAGGCTGATCTCCAACTCTCTATGTAGCTGAGGATGACCTTGAACTCCTGATCCTCCTGTTTCTACCACCTGGGTGTTTAGGATTACAGGTGTGCACCTCTGTACCCAATTTTACGTAGTGTTTGACATCAAACCCAGGACCTTGTACATGCTAGGTAAGCACTAACAACTCAGTCACATCTCCAGCCCTGCTTTGTTGCTTTTTTGTTTGTTTGTATTTTGGGGACAGGCTCTTCCAATGTAGCCCAGGCTACTTCCCAAGTGCTAAGATTCCAGTGTGCACCAACACTCTCTGCCCCTTGGTCTTTAAGGATAATCCTTGGGCAAGATTTCACTACTACCCACATCTTAGAGATGCTTAGAGAAGTTATATGACTTGCTCTAGCTCAGGTCTCCCGGCAGTCATAGACCCATGAATGGAACCAGATCCACAGACTCCACAGCCTGGCTTTAACCACTGCCAAAAAAGATGCTGTCTTTCTAGATGTGGCCACAGATGCCAGGATCTGAAGCCAGGTAATGGCTCACAGAAGCCTGGTCTCCTCCATGGCTCTCTGATGCTCTACCAGAAGTTCTCTTATCAGTCTTCCATCACTAAGACTTAGAGCTGCAACCATCCACTTGTACACTCATTTTACCTGCACGTATGTGTGTGCATGCGTAGGAGTATGCAGAGGATAAGGCATCTATTATGGAGTGTTATAAAAAAAAGAATGAGAAAACAAAACAAATTGGCTACTTAAAAAATAAAGTTAGACGTGCACGGTGGCACAGGCCTGTAATCTCAGCATTCAGGAACTTTAGGCAGGAGGATTAGGAATTCAAGGTCAGCAGGCTACAGAGTGAGATCAAGGCGTGTCATGAGAACCTGTATCAAACAACAAGGACAACAAAGCTAAGGCAGAAGTAGAGTAGTAGCAGCAAACCTGCCTCATATGTACAAAGTCCTGGGTTTCATCCCAGCACTGCAAAAAAAAAAAAAATAAAGCTAAAATCCCTTTTCAATTTTTTTGTTTGCTTGTTTTCAAGACAGGATATTGCTATGCAGTTCTGGCTGGCCTCAACCTCACCAAGTGGCCCAGGCTAGGTTCAAATTTGTGTCAATCCTTCTGCTTTAGCCTCCCCAGTGCTGGGATTATAGAGTGTACCACCAGAGACAGTTTTCTGTGGTACTGGGGACTGAACCCAGGGCCTTGTGAATGCTAGGCAACCATGGTACCAACTAAGCTACATCTCCAGTCCCTGTGTAGTGGCTTTAAAATAACATTTTTGGTTCGGTAGTGGTGGCATACATCTTTAATCCTACTACTTGGGAGGCAGAGGCAGGTAGATCTCTGTGAGTTTGAGGTCAGTCTAGTCTACAAAGCCAGTTTCTGGCTAGCCAGGGCTACATAGTGAGACCCTGTTTCAACACCCCCCACCTAATAACATTTTTTATGCATTCAACTTCGCAAGGAGAGAGAAAAGAACAAGTCTCTTTGGTTTGTTTTTTTACCTTCTACTACAGGTGTTTCCTCTTGTTTTTTGTCAAGAATAAGTTGTTCCATTTCTTTCCTTAAATCCTCCTGATTTAAGTTACAGGCATCGAAGGCATCACTAACAAACTCAGAAACCCCTGGGCTCGTAGAGATTTCCTCCTCATCCTGAAACGAAACAAAAGACCTCTTGAAATGGTTTTCTAACTGGCATGTATGTGCTAGATTTCTGGTTTATAGTTGTCTCACAATTTAACACAGCCTAATTTTTTGTTCTTCTTTGCTAGCTGTAAGACAATGCTCGCTGCTCTCCAACCTTCTAACTGGCAGTTGCTTGGTAACGGAATGAGTTACCACCTGAGGCTATTATTCTCCCTCACTGGATCACGCCAACCATTTTCTTTGATTCCAGATGAGCACATTTAGAATTATTTATGCCAGGAAATTACCTCACTTATCAGCTGTAGGCCCTTGATTAATCAAGTACTGGACTCTTCAACATATAGACAGATAAGACCCGCACTCTTTTTTTCTTTTTCTTTCTTTTTTTTTTTTAATCTTTTTGCGACAGGGTCTCCTTGTAGCCCCAGCTGTCCTGGAACTCACTATGTAGACCAGGCTGGCCTTGAACTCACAGAGATCTGCCTGCCTCTTCTGCCTCTGAGTGCTGGGATCAAAGGTGTACGCCACCATACCCGGCCAAGACCCGCACTCTTTTTAAAAAAACATATTTTATTTATTATTTTTTATTTTATGTGTATGAGTGTATTGCCTGCATGTGAGTGCACCTGTGTTGTGCAATGCCTTGGAAGTCAGAAGAGGGTTTCAGATTCTCCTGGAACTGGAGTTAAGGATTGTTTGTAGCCACGATGTGGGTACTGGGAATCAAACCCAGGTCCTCTGCAAGAGCAGTCAGTGCTCACCCATGTGTGTACATGTGGAGGCCAGAAGTCAACATCAGGTGTCTTCCTCTATTGCTTTCCATCCTTTTTTATTTTATTATTATTTTTAATTTTATGTGTATGAGTGTATTGCCTGCATGTAGGTCAGTGGACCCGTGTTGTGTAATGCCCGCAGAGGACAGAAGAGGCCATTGAATCCCCTGGAACTGGAGTTACGAACAGTTGTTAGCTGCCATGTGGGTGCTGGGATTTGAACCCAGGTCTTCTGCAAGAACAACCAGTGTTCTTAACTGCTGAGCCATCTCTCTAGCCCCCAAGACCCATACTCTTTAAGTTGTTTTAAATGGCATCAGAGATAGTTAACCCAGTAACTTCATTTCCAGACATCATCCACTAGGTACAATGTAAAACTATATTACCTCTTGAGTTTTAAGCTGAGATTTGATTACGATAGGTGGTGTTCTGGGCCGTACTGCCTCTAAGAAGTGAGAATAAAAGAGACAATAATCGCTTGATTCAGTTCTGAACACGTATTACAGTAACTGGTAAAATATCTACAAATATATTAAATAATTTTCAGAATGAGCTTTTACGGTATGCTTTCAGCTCTCCTGAAGTTATGACAAGACATAGCCAGGTGTAACCATCCCAACCTCTTATTTAGGCAATGTCTTTTTTTTTTTGGTCTTTTTGAGACAGGGTCTCCCTGTAGCCCCAGCTGGCCTGGAACTCACTATGTAGACCAGGCTGGCCTTGAACTCACAGAGATCCGCCTGTCTCTGCCTCCCAAGTGCTGGGACTAAAGGTGTGCGCTACCATGCCTGGCGCAATGTCTTTTTTTGAAGATTTATTTTATTTTAATTATGTGTGTATGAGTATGTGTCTGTGTACGGGTATATGCATGTCAGTGCAGGTGCCAACAGAGGCTAGAAGATGGCTTTGGATCCCCTGGAGCCGGAGCTACAGGTGGTTGTGAGCTGCCTTAAGTGGGTGCTGGGACCTGAAGGGTCCTTGGTGATAGCAGTATGTACTCTTTTTTTGTTGTTGTTTTTGAGACAGCCTCTCCCTCTTGCTCCAGCTGGCCTTGAACTCACAGAGATCCACCTGTCTCTGCCTCCCAAGTACTGGGAATAAAGCTGTGTACCACCATGCCTGAATAAAAGTTTATTTTTATTTTTTAATTACATGGATTCATGTGTGTCTGAGTATAGATTTGTGCATGTGTGTGTGGTGCCCAAGGAGGCTAGAAGAGGGTGTCAGATCCTGTGGAGCTAGAATTATAGGTGATTGTGAGCCACATGACATGGGTACTTGTGACCCACTAAACCTGGATCCTCTGAAAGAGCAGCATGCACTCAGAACTGTTGAACATCTTCACAGTACCTCTACTCTTTATCTTATTAATCATGCTCTACAGTCTTCACTTAATACTTACTTACATTCTGTTAAACAGCAAGTATTTTGACTCCCTGCCATGACAGGAATTGAATTTAGGGCTGTACACACATTGGCTATATTCCCAGTCCAATATTTTCCAATAAAATTAAGGAAGCCAGGTGTGGTGCCCAGACCTGTAATCCTAGGACTTCAGAGGCTGAGACAGGAGAATTACTTATTAGTTCGGGACAACTTCTAAAAACCCCAAACCCCAAATTAACAAGCAAGTAATTAAGGAGATGCATGCTGACCTCTAGATGCAACTTCCTTACATTTACTTAACCTTGAGTGTAGCTTCAGAGCCTCTCTTAGTAGTCTGTACAACCTGCATCTTATGACAAACCTAAAATTTCACAAACTAAATTACCCTACTTAGCCCAGCATGTTTGAGCCTTGGGTTCTATCTGTAGAACTACAACCAAAAAAAAAGAAGAAAATAAAAATATTACATAAAATATATATTTCTTCTTTTTTGGTCTTTTTGAGACAAGGTCTCCCTGTAGCTGTAGCTGGCCTGGATTTACTATGGAGACCAGCCTGGCCTTGAACTCAAGAGATCCACCCCTGCCTCTGGGATTAAAGGTGTGCACCACCATACCTGACAAAATATATTTCTTCTTTTAATTAGTATGACAGATATTAAGCAGTTCCTGGTATTATAAAATACTTTGCTTAGGTTGGAGAGATGGCTCAGTAGTTAAGAGCACTGGCTGCCCTTAAAGGGGACCCAACTTTGGGTCCCAGCCGCCATATAGCAGCTAATAATGGCTCTTAACTCCAGTTCCAGGGAATCTGATGACCTCTTCTGGCCTCTGTGGGTATTGCACACAGGTGGTGCACTTACATGTATGCAGGCAAAACACTCCTACACATAAAAATAAATTAAACCAAAACCAAAACAAACAAAAGAAACACTTTCCATAACAACTAGGGGTAAGTATCACCAAGAGGAAAGTGTCAGGTGTTTAATAGTGCTTTGCTCAGAACTGGAAACTTGTAATTCGACAGGAGCTTTGTTGGGGGTCTACAGAGTATAAATCCTGAGGAAACCAGGATGAAAGAAAGTCTGAGAAAAAGCTGGGTTTGATGGCACATGCCTGTAATACAAGCATCTGGGAAGTGAGGAAAGGAGGATCGGGAATTCAAGGCTAGCCTGGGCTAGGTGAAACCCCAAGCAAAACAAAAAAACCCAAAGGGCAAGAAGAGACATGGGGAAGATGACTTCTTTCAAGAGAAACAAAACAAGAAAAAAAACCCAACAACTGAGAAATGAGATCCCCAAGAGAAGAAAGGCTGGTGAAGACACGTGCAAGCTGGGTCAGACAGAGGGCAACAAAAAAGAAAATTTTCTTTGGAACGGAAGACTTTTTCTGTATGGAGATGTCAACATTTTGGGTACACACAAGATGACAAGCTCATTAGCATCTCTAAATCAGGAATATTTTTACAGCAATTCTTTTCTTCTAGAATGATCTCTTCTCCGTGGAATGTACCTGTCAGAGGCAAATCATCCTCTCTGCTGCTGCTTTTCTCGTCCTTTCCCGAGGCTTGCTGCTGGGCGGCCAGTGCAGTGAGCTGGGCTGACTGCTTAATCAGGGAGATGCGGTAAAAGTAGTTCCTCCAAAATACTTCTTCCTTCACACTTGAATAGACAGACAGTGACACATGTGAGAAGGCACGGGACAAGGGCACACGGAGGTGATTAAAGCAGAGCCTAGAATGGATTAGATTTATCTGGCTTTGGTAATGGAACCCAGGGTTTCATGTATGCTAGGTAAGCTATAGCCCCAGTCCCTAGAATTGATTTTTAGCATTTTCCAATCCTCGTCAAAGGACATAATAATTTGCTTTACAATTGAACGGAACTGCTATTTCCTCTACAGCAGCAAAAGACAAGTTATAGAATGTCTAAGAAACACATTTCTTGGTATTTTAATTATTTATGTTGATTTATTGTGCGTGTGTGTTACACACATGTAGAGGTCAGAGGACAACTTGGGAGTTCTTCTTCTTCCACCATGTGGGAACTGGGAACCAAACTCAAGTGGCCAGATTGGCAGTAAGCACCTTTACCTCCTGAGCTATCTCACTGGCTCCCATTTCTTGGTATCTTAATGTAATGACACTACCATGAACCTTGGCAGAAGGAAACAGGGCATTCATTTGGGACAGAGTGACTAACCTGGGGGACTGGAAACTAAGTCAGAATTTCAGCAATCCTTTGCTGTTTTCTGGAAGATTACATGCTTTTAGGCAGTGAAAAGAAAGCATTGTGGGTACTGTCCCTTTTTCTTTGTTTTCTGCTTTTCATGTGTTTGTGTATGTGGGTATATGTGTTTGAATATGTGTGTGAACATGTGCGGAGGCTCAATGCTGATACTGGGAATCATCCTCAATTGCTCCTGCACCTTGTACTTTTTTTTGGAGGCTGGGTGTCTCAATTAAACCCAGAACTCACCAATACAGACAGGCTAGATATGCCTAGTCGGGCTGGTCAGCTTCCTCTGGGATTCCATCTTCTTCCAAGGCTGGAATTAGAGGCAAGCCACCACACCCACCCAGCATCTATGCGGGACCTGAGAATGTGCAGTCTTCTAGCTTGTCTTGTAAGCATTTTAATTGCAGAGCCATCTACCCAGTCATTGTTTTTTTGTATGGTGGCACATGCCTTTAATCGAGGCAGGGGAAGGGGATGGGGAAGGGGCAAGGACAGGGGCAGAGGCAGAGGCAATTTTATCCTTGGGACCATATGGTGGAATGAGAGAACTGATTCCTACAAGTTGTCCTTTGACCGCCACATGCGCATGCCCCTCCTCCAAAATAAATAAAAATGTAATAAAATTAAAGTCCTTAAGGCTGAGCTCAATTGGTAAAGTGCTTGCTTGGCATGCACAAAGTCCTAAGTTCGATCCTCAGCCCTGTATAAACCAAACCAAACGGTGGCACAAGTCTATAATCCCAGAACTCAGTAGGTGGAGGCAGAAGGTTGAGAAGTTGAAGGTCATCCTCAACTACACAGGAAATTCTAGGCCAGTTTGGGATCCATGAGACACTGTCTCCAAACACACACACACACACACACACACACACACACACACACACACACATTCTCTCTCTCTCCATGAGACACTATCTCCAAAACCACACACACACACACTCTTTCACACACACACCCTAAGTCCTATCTATCTATCTATCTATCTATCTATCTATCTATCTATCTATCTATCTATCTATCTATCTATCTATCTATCTATCATATCTATCTGTCTATCTATCTATCTATCTATCTATCTATCTATCTATCTATCTATCTATCTATCTATCTATCTATCTATCTATTCTATCATCTGTCTATCTATCTATCTATCTATCTATCTATCTATCTATCTATCTATCTATCATCTGTCATCTATTTATGTTTTTGAGACAGGGTCTCCCTGTAGCCCCAGCTGTCTTGGAACTATGTAGACCAGGCTGGCCTCCAACTCACAGAGATCCGCCTGCTTCTACCTCCCAAGTGCTGTGATTAAAGGCATGTGCCACCATGCCTGGTTTATTTTACTTTTATTTTATGTGTATGAGAGTTTTGCCTGCATGTATGTAAGTGGACCATGTGTGTGTAATACCCTTGGAGGACAGAAAAGAGGCTGGATCCCCTGGAACTGGAGTTATGGATGGTTGTTAGCCACCATGTCGGTGCTGGGAACTGAACCTGGGTCCTCTGCAAGAGCAAGCAGTGCTGTTAACTGCTGAGCCATCTCTCCAGCCCCTATTATTGAAACATGGTCTTGAAATGTAGTCCAAGCTAGTTTTGAACTTGCTATTCTCCTGTCTCTGCTTTCTGAGAACTGGGATTATAGACCTGTGCCACCATGCCTGACACTAAGTACTTTCAAAGGGGAGACCTGTAACTTTACAGTTAAGAAGGCTCAAAAATAAATGAGGAAGAGCCCAATAGAGGGGATGCTTTTGGAAGCCCTTGTCAAGAAACTCCAATGGACCATCATATGAACATTCGAAAATTGCCCTGTTCTGACTTTTTTCTAGTTCCTGCTCTAGAACTTGTAATGCTAATTACTCTTGCCTTTACTTCTCC